ACTAAGCCAGCAATGCAGAAAATACTTAAGTGAATGAATCTTAGACAAAGACAGGAAAGACACCAGCACCGAAGAGTTCAAAGGAAAGCATATATGAGAAGATAGCCAGACAACAGGAAAACTAAGGGAATTAACACTCACACAGTAAATTTTTTTTTTTTTTTAGGTACTGGGAATTGAACTCAGGACCTTGCACTTGCCCAGCAAACACTTATGCTACTGAGCTATCTCCCCAGCTCCCCATATCGACTCTTTCTGTGTCGGAGTACAGCACCTCATTATTATGTCAATTTTTAGGGGAGGAACAAATTTATTTGAGGAATTAAGGGACTTCAGTAGATGTTCTGGTACAATTTATAGAAAAGGTAAAGCTAACCCCAACAGGCACGTGCTGCCTTAACTTGTCACTGTCCCCCAGGGTCTGCTTGTCAAAGAGTCTGAGGCGGGGGGCTCCCATTTGTACAGGTGGACCACAGGGTCACCTGGCTGGCCTTTACCAGCTTCTCCAGGTAGTGAGTCTCAGACGGGTGGGATCCATCTTACCAGTGGCTGCCTTGTGCAGCTCCAGGGGTGACAAATGCACGCTTTTTTCCAGGTGTGGCACACTCCCCATCGCATGCACCCTGATCTCCCAGTCCTCTTAGTTTGGTTTCTTCATCCCCTGAAGGAATATCCACCACTGTCCGGCTTTTGTAGCATCTCAGTTTCTCTCACAGCTCCTGTTTTCCTGAGATTGGTGAAGAAAGTATTTGACCAAAAGTTCTTCCACGCCACATCATTGCAGTCAAAGTAGGACAGATAGATATAGAAGCTCCAGGTTGAACTGGCAATTGATGGCGCCCCACATCCTGGTGTTGGTTCCTGGGGCTGGGGAGTAGGCAGTCATCATGGTGACAGCAGGCCAAGCCGGGTGAGGGCCGGGCTCCACGCAGCACTGTTGAAGCCACAGGTCGTAGCTACACTCGCAGAGGATGTATTTTGTCAATTTACCTTTTCTTTCTTTCATTTTTTTTTTTTTTCTCAGCTCAGACTTGTAGTGATCTTGCGTTTTCAGGCTCCGCAGTACTGGGATTACAGGTGTGCACCACCACGCCTGGAGTTGATCGCTGGCTCACTGCACCCAGGGGCGGGTACGACCTGGCATGCTGGACTGGGAATTGAACCCTGGTCTCTGTGCTTGGCAGAGCAGGCGCTTAGTTCACTGAGCTATCTTGCCGGCCCCAATTAACCATATTTTAAAAGACTTTAAATGCATCAAACCAGAAATCTGGACTTGCATTTTGCTAATCTGATGGACAAAATATCGCATTTTAAATATCTAGTGTGGTGGTACACATGTCTGTAATCCCAGCACTCGGGAGGCTGAGGCAAGAGAGTTGTTGAGAGTTCAAGAGTACAGGGCCAGCCAAATAGCTCAGCCGATTAATGCACCTGCTTGGGCAGGAAGGGGCCTGGGGTTCAATTCCCTGGCCTGCTGTTCCAGGCCTGCCCCTGGAGCATGCTAAGATTGATTGTGTGGTGGCTCACGCCTGTAATACCAGCACTGGGGAGGCTGAAAACACAAGGATCACTACGAGTTCGAGTTGCATAGGGAGACCCTGTATCAAATACATAAAAAAAAAAAATTAAGAGAGCTTCATTATACCTGGTACTTAATATTGTTTTAAGAATTGTGGGAAGTTTTCATAATGGCGCATGCCTGTAACCCTAACACTCAGGGAATTTGAGGCAAAAAATTGTAAATTTAAGCCCATTCTAGACAATTAAGCAATTTAGCAAGGCCTTGTTTCAAAATTTAAAAACTAAAATAAAGAACTGGGCTGTATCTCTGTGCAAAGGCTCTAATTCAACTCCTAGTCTCACACCCACACACACACACACACACACACGTGTGCACACATGTACACACACTCTGTGGGAAATAACGTTGGTTTCTGCCTTCAGGAATTTATACAATAGCTGCCAGATGAGACAAACATGTGGAACCATAAAAAAATAAAATAAGATAGTTAATTTTTTGTTTGTTTGTTTATTTGTTTGTTCTAGGGATCAAACTCAGAACCTTGCTCTTGCCAGGCAGGAGTTTATGGCACTGAGCTACATCCCTGGGCCTGATAACTAATATTATAATATGTGTTAATTTAGTGATTACTAATGGAGACCACATAGGTGAGGCTGTGGCTTAGTCAAAGTTTATCTAATTTCAAGAAACAAAATTCAAATTTCTATTTGCACTGATGCTAACTCAGAGCAGGCCCAGCTTGATAGCTCCCCGCTCCACTTCCCAAGTATTGCCCTCCAACATTGCAAGTCCCATACTCCAGATACTGGAAAAGGCTGTAAAAGGGAGGGTGTCAGTGGGACAGAAAATTTCACAGAGAAGGGGAGACTTGATTGGATCTTCAAGAACAGGTAGAATTCAGAGAGAAGCAAGGAAGTTGCTAAGGTAAGAAGCATAGGAGACTGAATAAGTGGGGAATATGGATGAAACAGTCTGATGAGAACTAAGAAGTAAGGATCACATCTTTGTGTGTGTGTGTGTGTGTGTGTGTGTGTGTGTGTGTGTGGCCAGCTCATGCCACCCTGGTATGGCATGCAGTACCGGGGATCAAACCATGGTCCCAAAGTGCTTGCCTAAGCAGGGACTTTAGAGCGCTGAGCTATCTCACTGGCCTGAGGTTCACATCTTAAAGAGTTATAAAAGTGAGGCTGAAAAACTTAAATTTAGTGTAATAAAGTTGGTTTTAAGGAACCCCGGGAAAATACAGAGCAGAGAAGAAGGCATTACATTGACAGAAGAATTTGATGGAAATTTAAGGTGGCACAGACCCTGATCTTTCAGCTACTGGTATCACATGGGTACAAGATGAAGTGAAGAGAACTTGATTTTTTGTTGTTGTTTGCTTGAAAACCAACACGATATCTTATGGTCTAAAAGAATACTATGAGAATGGAAGGAAAGATCTACTAGATAGGGCCAGCGAGATAGCTCAGTGAATTAAGCACCTGCTTTGCCAAGCTCAGGAACCAGGATTCGATCCCCGCCACGCCCCTGGAGCATGCTGAGCTGGCGACCAAATTCGGGCGTGGTGGGGTACTCCTGTAATCCCAGCGCTGGGGAGGCTGAAAGCAGGAAGATCACCAGGCGTCTGACTTGAGTAGTAAGGCCCTGTACCAAATACATAAAGGAAAAAAAAAAAAATCTGAAACATCTACTAGAAATTTAATTTAAAAGAAAAATGACAGAACTGTCGATTGACCAGAAATGGGAGATGTCCAAAGAAAGCTGCCATTAACTACCTCTTCTTTTAAAACTCTGTATATTCTCATATATCTTTTCTTTCTATACTCTGTGACTTGCTCTACATTTCTATTGTCACCTCATTTCCTCTTTTTTATTCATTCTGACTGAAATGCTAGCTGCCGCTACACAAAACAAAACTTTCACCAAAAGGATTCTGAAATTATACTCTTTGAGCTTCTCATGCTAGGGAAATTCTGAAATTTTGGATAGTGTTTCTTTTTTTTAGTTAATTGATCCCACATAAGACACAAGAAAATTCTTTTGAGTGAAAAAAGAAAATCCTAGCTTCTGCTTTTTAGGGTTATTAGAGCTTAATTATCTTTAAATAAATCAAGTTATTGTCAGAGGTCTCCCTGCTAAACTCTAAATGCTAACCTTGTGACTGTTGCAGTTACTCTGTTGATGTCTCAGTTGTTCTCTCCACAGATATTCTCACTCTGAATTGAGGAGGTCAAGTGCAAGAACAAAATATCAAAGTTTATGGACCTCAACACATTGTTGGAGCCGGGGAGATGGCTCAGTAGAATAGCGCTTCCCTGGCAAGCACAAAGGCCTGAGTTTGATCCCTGGTTCTGCAAAATAAATAAATAAATAAATAAAACACATTGTTGCCTCCAAAAAATTTGTTTTAGAGGGTCACACTGCCTTTTCAAATACAATATGTCTAAAAGATATTTTAAGAATCATATTCTACAATTCTCTTTGGGATGTCTTTACATCCCTAAAAGAATTATCTGAAAGTAAGGGATGGACTGACATGAATAACATCTCTTTACCTGGCTTCTAGGATACTGTCCAGGAAAGAGTTGATGTTTAAAGATATTGAGATGTTCAACAGTTGGTATGCATACCAGAGATTTCATTTTCTTGGTCCTTTTTTGAAGCCAGCCTGAGAGGTCACATAGGCTTCAACCAGTGAGGCTACAGGGGTAGGCCCAAACCCCTTTCTGTTCACATCTGGCTATACTTGCCCCACACACTGGACAAAGAATACAGGATCTAGCATTCACCCTAAGGGTTTGGGGTCTGGTTCCTCTCTATCCCTTTTTTAAGTAAAAATGTTTGCCCTGTACCATTGTATGTTGGAAATACTTAACTTTCTGATTTTTCACAGGGACTCACGGTTAAATGTTTGCCAAAGCTATTAAGACTGCACAACGCTTGCTCTGAGCTCCCAGCTCCTGCTAAGCTTGCATGGCCGCCACCTCCCTCAGCCACCATCATGATTATCTACCGGGACCTCATCAGCCACGATGAGATGTTCTCC